AATTACAGTTTTTATTTAGTCGTGTTAAAAACCGACTGATCTTTATTGGAATATTCAAGTAGAATGTAAAATTTCGATAATTTTTTCAAGTATTATCAACAGTTTGCACGTGTCAGAATACAAGATCGTTCATTACTATTCTGCAATTCGCGTGTAATTGTATAAATCTAAAACAAAACTAAAGATATATACCTCACATAAATAAGCATGATAGTCACTTCTAACTATTTGATGAAATTTGAATATCTTGCTTTCATATCGATCTAAGCGAATGAAAAATTGTCATTATTACACCTGTCTTTGCCTTAAACCTGCGTTCGTTCCTTTTCATGCTTCTGTTCGAATATTTCTCTCTTGCTCATTTCACGTCACAAAAACGTACTATTTCATGTACACCAACTGTCTTGCTTCTCCTTCTTCCTCTCGCTTATATATCCATAGATCAGTTGGGGAGCAGAGAAAGAGCATAGTACACACATCAAGAAGAGACAGTAATATCCAGAGAAGAAGGATAATAGAAAATGCAAGAGAAAAGACAGACATGATAATGAAGCGGTCATCACACTTACAAGCGATCAAAAGATTAGATGACGCGTTCAGTGAAGGTGCTTCTGTTATTGGCACAATTATATTTTAAAATAATTTGTTCTACAAAGACAGAAAATCTTAATCGGTTGAGACTCAATATTACACTCAAAACATAAAATCATTTCAAAAATCAGCTATAATGAATGCACTTATAGTCGTGTAGAAAAAATTAATTAAGATTATTAGGTAAAGTAAAACAATGTAATTAAATAGAAATGATTACTTCAGGAAAAATAAAATAGTATTTCATTTTCAATTGTTTGTTTTACAAGTAAGATTACTTTCATCGTTTTTTACATTTTTCTATATATGTTTATACAAAATATAAAAAACATAGCATCGTGTTCTTCAATTCGAATGTCGGAATGATACTAATAAGGTTTTCGATACAACCACGAGTGTTATGAGACATACGAAAGTTAATTAAGGTAGCGAAAATGCAAAATTTCAGTAAAAATTTTTTTTTCATTCATTTATATATAGTTTGATAGAGAAAAATGCAACAAAAGTTGAATGACTAAAAATCACTTTTTTTTTTCGTTGAATTTAGCTTTTCTAGAGAAATTGCCAAATATTTATTTCAATTTTTTATTGAAATCTTTAAAAATACTATTTTCTAAATCAGCATGAAAAACTGAGTAGAATAATGTTATTTGATTAGATGTAGAGTTATTAAGACTAAAAAACTGTCGTTTCATATAAAAATAGATCCATTATTGTAAACCTATCTAGTTTTTTCCTACAAGAGACAAAAGCAACTTTCTTATCTCGTTAGAATCATCAGACCCTGACCTACAATTGTTACCATTTAGTTTTTTTTTTAATTTATTTTATTGTCCGAAAAATTCATATTTTTTAAAAATGATGTGAAAAACGAGTAAATCAGCTTTTTTGTGAAATCTTTTTTTTCTCGATACATATTCATTTTTTGTCTTTATATAGGTAAAAATTTAAGCAGAATGAGATGGATGTAACCTAAAGACTACCAGAATCTATTCAAAAACATTCTAAATTTTATATTTTTCATTAAAAAACCGTTTAACTAGCATTTTTTGCGTTTATTTCTCTGCATATTAAGTGCATATTCGATACGATATTTTCGGTGGCTTCATCAGAAGAAAGTTATGAGAACGAAGTCCCTTGACAATATTATCCTGTTATATTAGCACATTTTCTATACTTTTATATATGTTTCCTCTTTCAATCCTTCGCTCATGTATTTTTTTTTCTTTCTGCTCTGTCTGAACATACATTATGTGAGTCGACAGATATTTTGAATGTTACAAAGGAAATTAAAGGTAATTGAGTTTGAAAATTTTTTGCGACCAAAGACACTTGAAACGAATGATAAGCTCTCTCGTTACAAGAAGAAGTTCTGAATTCAAGTAAAAAAAAAGATAATTCTGTTAAAATAGCGTGAGAAAAAACGTCTTATAAAATTGAAGTTTTAGGAAATTTCCATCAAACTTTCATCAACAAAGACTTAAAAAAACACAGTTTCATTCAAAGAATTTCTTGAGATCCAGAGGACATGAACAGAAATATGAAGTTTTGATTTTGGTTCAATCTTGTCCAGAAATTCAAGTGAAGCAGTTGTCTAAAAAGCACATGAAGACGTATCTAAGCGAGAGTCATAATCTATGATTAATCTAGTGCAGCTATTCTTTTGCTTTTTGTTTCATTTTTCTATTTAGTGTGGTATGGTATTAGAGCAGCAGTTTTCGCTAACTATAAGTTACAATTTTTCTAAAATATATTTTGCATGAGAGCAGAATGGAATAGAATTTTCAGAGTCATTTCGTATTTGCATCAACGCCGACTTCGATGGTGTTGGGTTTCAGGGTTCAGTACAGGTCTCTAATGTTCGCCAATATGGTTCTTCAAATGCAGCTTCGTCGAGCCAAACTGTCATTGTGTCCGCCGTAACTTGAAACAAAAATTTAGTTTTTCGTCGTAGATCATACTCCCATTCTTTTCTCTTATAGACATCAAAAAAACTACTATAATTGTTTTCGATGCAGAAAGTAAGACTGCGAAGATGTAGCAAATATTTCTTCAGTTGTGGAATGTTCTGTAAAGTGTATGTATCGATTTTGAGATGTTCCACGTAAGGAAAACACTTGGCAATAATAATAATATCTTCTTCATCGAATTCAGGTTTATCAAAAGATATGTTAAGATCTTTTATACAATTCATTTTTCCCAGGAAAACATCTATATTAGCCAAAATTAGATCTAAGCTCATATCAAGTGAATTCATATTTGTGACAGATGTCAGCAGCACATTTAATTCGATAGTCATTTTTAGTGAGCATCTAATAGCGACTTGTCTGATATTAGAACAATTTACATGTGTATGCAGCCATTTGAATAAAGCACTATTCATGTTATTCACTATAAGAAACTTCACATTGTCAAAGTAGTAAGGACATGATACGAGACTGTTTATGTCATAAAGTTTGAATTTTATGCTTTTATTTACTATGAGAAGATCATTATTAATAGTGCGATTGGGTGCTGTCCAACACCGAATCATAGGCCAATCAAATTCATGCCGAAAATGATATTTTGTTTCACCTATACCAAAACCAACATAATTCCAGCGTTCATGTTCGGTTATCATTAGATTAAAGTTTTGTTTTGATACCCAATATGAACTTTGAAATGACGAGAGCATATTATGGAGTCCAATTTCTTCGACACGAGATGAAGTTGTTCGAAGAGTAAAATGAGTTAATGATGGTAATGATATTTCCAAAAACATTTTCCATGCATTTGCATCAAGAAGTTCACTGTGTGCTTTGATCTCAAGATATTTTAAAATAGGCATCGAATTCAAATATTCTGTTAACATATCCATCGTGACTAAACTGTTGTCAGCAAAATATAAGACTAGTGTACGAAGTGTCAACATTACTACAATATTCTTTTTTGGACGCTTTTCTTTTTCATTGAGAAATGAAACTCCTCTACCGGCTATTTCAATATCAAGATATTTAAGACGAGAAGCACACTGGAAAATATATTGTAGATCTTGAAATTTACAATTAATACCAGAAATAGTTAAATGTTCAATATTTGACGAGATCTTTGCTATATTATTCCAGTACATACGATCGAAGTCGCTCAAAAGAGAAAATCTTTTTAATGATTTTAAGCCAAAAATATGAGCAATAATATTTCCCAATATGTACCTATTTTCTTTGATACTTCCTTTGATTGATAAAGTGTCGATAGTCGTTTCTGGTAAAGAATAAAGAGCATTTTCAACACTGTTCCAATCAAGATTTTCATCATTAAAATGAAAATAAAGTCTTCGAAGATGTTTAAATAATGCAAATGATGGAAAAAAAGATAGAAAAGCATACACTTGACCAGGTGTGTCTTGTTCCGATATGGATAGTTCTTCTATTTTGTCGATATACGCTGGTAAAAGACCCATGCAAAAACGAAAATCATCTTTATGACATTGAATAAAATCAAAACGAAGTCGTTGACATCGTGTAATGAGTAAATCAAATCGTTGATTGAGTTGAAAGCTAAATGCTCTAAGTAGATCCACACCATTGATATATTTTTCCATAATATCAATTAATATCTCATTAGGAAGTGATTCAAGTTTAGAGAGTGACATCTATATGAAGCAAAATAACAGTAAGAGTCGACAGATAATAATGAAATGCTGTTGAAAGGGCGTTGTGTTGATTTAGTATTCTTCTTTCAACAAAACAGAAAGTTGTGAGAATGAGAAAAAAAAACATATTTTCTCTGGCGATAGCAAATATTTAGATGATGGTTTGTCCTCTTTCCTTTTTTGTAACAGAATGTAGTATACTCTGCTTTTGATTCTACACTAACAAACATTTTATTAGTATCCATGAATGATGAAGAACGTTTCTGCGTTGGTCATTCTAACATTTGCGTATGGATGTATTTGTCATAGAAGATATTCATAACACTCACACCGTCAGTTGATGACAATCACTGAACGACATCAGTAACATGACATACAGTGGTCTATAATGCTCTAAAGCTTTTGTTAGAATTTGAATGACTAAAATACGTTTGTAAAAATTTCAAATGGTGCGATTCAAGATATTCAATACGCTACGTGATGAAGAAATATGTACTTGATACCGATAACTTTATTTTTTCTGGTTTCAATCTGTATAAAACAAATTGGTGTTTCAACTCCTCTTTTGAATTTCTTTACTCGATAATTAGAACCATCTCTCTTCAATTATATTCTGATTGATATCATTTACAAGAAAATTTGTCTGATAAATATGAGTTCTGGTCATGCACATCTCTGTTAGTGATGTATTGATTTGTCATAGCTGTTATGTAGATTAATATTTCTAAAAAAAGTGAATTAATCATATTATAACTTTGAGGTTATCGAAAGTTTTAAACTAATACCAACGGATTATAATACAACTAACGAGCGAATAGCAACAAGACATTTTCATATGTTAGTTCCTATGGACTAATATATGAAGATTCTATTCTTTATGCCGAAAAATCAATGTAAAGATATGTTATGTTAGATATTCTGTCATATTATTTAAATTATTTAATTATATATTAGTCGGAGATTATTTAAAAAAAAATAAAATAAATAATTATTATGTTTTTAATCGTTCTGTTTTGATTCATAAGTCATAGAAAGTTTAAGATGCTTATTCAGTAAATTTGTTTTGATTGTGCTGATCACTTTAATTGTTGATAATTCTATTTTATCTGCATAATAAACTCGATAAATATAATAATTCAATGGATGGTTAAGAAGATATTCAACTTCACCAATCGATACTGCAAATGTATTTTGATCATAGGATCGAGTTGTTTTTACTTCAATAAATTCTTCTCGATTGTTTTCAGATTTAATAATCATATGAATATCATAGGGTTTACCTGATTCTACTTCTTGATTAACCCAATTAATATCTGCATTAGGATATTTCCATTTAAGATAACCAAAAACGAGTTGTTCACCTTGACGACCCGTAGCAAGATCAGTTTCAGTAGCAATGGGACGGAGCGAATCAGTACTCGATAATCCATCAATAACAGGTGAAGTACTTGAATCAATATACGGTAGAGTTGAAAAACTTATACATTCGAAGTTAACAGGTAGTAACGAAGTAGTATTCGAAAAAGTCATAGGAGCATGAGGTTGAATAAATTGACCTTTGGATTGCTTTATCTCATCTTTATTTAATTCATTTTTGTCGAGATTCTCTGAAACAAAAAAATATGAAACTTAATCTATTATTTGAACTCAATAAATATTTATAGTCTCATTTTATCTTACCATCAGTATGTTCTGTAGTTTTGTTCTTCGATATTCCATGTTCATGGTTTCCTTGATGATAATCTCCTGATTCTCGATGATGTTCATTAGTTGAATTTGCATTTGATGATGGATTTTCTCTTTCAGTTGAGTCTTTCGGTTTTGGTTTTGTTTTTGATTCAGGAATCTCGTTCGTTTCGATAGTACTGGCTTTTGCAGGAAAACAGGTTAATTGACTGGTATTATCTTCGTCTGTTACTTTTTTCGGTATGCGATTTCTTCGAGTAGAAGGCATGTCCTTCAATTGTTCAATTTCATCGCGTGTGATCTCAGGTTTTTCAGTCTTTTCTTCAATTGCTGGTGAACTTGGAACATCTTTTTTAATTTCCTTTGGAATTTTCCATTTAGGTTCGTAATTTTCTGTACAATTTGTTCGTAACATAGCTAAACTTTTTTCACCTTCATTCTGGTATTGTTGCAAAAGTTTTTTGATATATGATAAAAGTTGCGATCGAATTCCTTCATCTTCAACAATAAAATTAATCATAGCATCAATATAACGTGTTTCAGAATGTTCAAATTTTTTTAGAATATAAAATTTGCTTGATTGTTCGTCAATATAAGTGTCTTTATTATAATTTGTTGATTCTGTTTTGATAATATCAGTTCCATAGCAATATGATAAATCAATACGATCAACACAAACAAAATGCATACGAGCAAATACAAATGATAAATCGGCAGAATGAGTAGCAGATATAAATTGTTTGCTTAATAGAAAATATTGAATAAGATCAATTGAACAATGATAGAACTCAGCTAGATGTGTTGATGATTGTTCATTTTCAACATGAACTTTAGTTTGAATAACTTTACGAAGATTTTCAATATCAAAAAGTGAACAGAATTGTTCTTGAAAATTAGTATCAATTGAGAAACCTTAAATATAATGACGGTATTAATTGACTATTAACTTAGTTCAAATTACCTGGTAACTTGATGATAGGCAAAATGTCTGAAAACAAATTGGCAATATCTGTATCATGTGGATAAAACGGATGATCGATATATTTTACTAGTTTTTGTTTGGTACCCATACATGGAATGAATGTAATATTGAGACATTTTTCTGTAGACGAAAGACATCAACAAAAGAAAATAGGTTTTTTACAAAAAAAAAATAATTTTCTTTACCTTGAACTTCTTTTTGTTTATTTCGTTCTGCTGCTAATTTTGTGATTATTTGAATAATCAACCAAATCTTATTAATATCCTGATCAACAGATAATAATGGTAAATAATCATCAATAGTTGGATGTAATTCAACATGAAGTATTTCAAGAAAAAATATATTTAAAATAGAATCATCATTGTAATACGATTGAATAGGGATACGACCGTTTGAATCTGTAATTATATCTTGTGTTGACAATAGAGAGATGGGATCAGTCCAAAATGTTTGTTGAACAAATAAGAAATCACCAGTATTTTGTTTTCGTGGAATAAATATGATTGGCCATAAACGAAAACGACTAAGAAAACGTCGAGTTTCATCGTTTGAAGCAAGGAATGCATAGATTACACGAAGATTTTCGATTGTGTCAATACAAGACTGACGAAATGTATTCGGTAGAGTGCAAGGGATACTAAAATAAAATAATCATAGTTAAGGTACAATATTTCTTGAAGAAAATTCTTTCAATTCATTATTTTTTTTTAAACAAAGGTATGTTTATTTTTACGCGATAAACTATATAGTTGAATAATCCAAATGGATAAATCTAATTGGATTCAATCAGACAACAGAATTCGATGGAAATCCGGATAGCGAAATAATTTATGAACTCAAAGGTCAGATTTCAGCACTAGTAACTCAACTGTCAGATTAACTAGAGAACTCTCTATCAGTGATTAATATATAAACACTTACATATCCAATGTTTCTGTCTGTTTGATCAAATCCCATAATGATTGACTATCCAGATTACATGACCACTTCATAAATAACTCGAATATAGTTCGATGTTTGACTTGCGACTTAATACCAAGTATATTATGTATAAATTCTAAACTTTTTAACGATACTTTTGATTCATCTAAGTGAGGTATATACCGTCGAAAGGCATACGTTGGACTATTTGATGGTAATAAATAAACATCACTAGGCTTAAATAATGCATCACCAACAACAGGAATCCATGCATGTTGTCGTACTGAGAGAGTAAATGAAGATTCAATACCTTTTATTGGTGTGTTTTGACCATATTGATGTCCACGAACTAGCATAACCGAACCTGTAAAGTAGTGAGAAACATATTGATAATGACGATCCAAATATTGAAGTAATTGAACACATAATTCGTGGTCAACGGTTTGATTGGCATCCAATGGTGTTACAAGTTTATTGAACTCCTCACAACAAAAATCTTGTATTATAAATGGTTCATGTATCATTTCAGATAATTTTGGAATTAAATATGCCCATTTAGTATCAGCAAGATTTTGAACACCGATAAATCCTAATGTAAAATAAAAATTGTTTTATTAATATGTTTATTGATGTAATGCACTTACGCGTTTCATTCAAGTCTACTTGAAGAAAGTCATTTATATTGAGTTTCTTAAGAAATATGACGAAGGAATGTACATCATGACTTTTAAGAAACAATTCAGTAAGACAAAACTCATTATAATAATCATCAGAAATAAAAATGAATTGATAGTTTGATAAGCGTAAAGATTCAAGTGAATCTTTACAACCATACTTCAATGTTAAATGAACAACAACATCAGGAGAACCCAATGAAACAAATTTATTATCACGTGTTTTAATAAGTACTTTACTTTTTAATATTTGTAACTCATTTTCAAATAGATCAGACTTTTGCGAGTAGATGTATTCATAAATACATAAAAGATACGCGATTAATACTGATTCCGATTTCAAAGACCAATGAGTTTGATCTGACATGACTGGCAACATATGTTGAAGATAGATTTCACGAATATTGTGTGATTTATTAATACCTACATAAACAAAAGAATAAAGAAAAAAAAAATAATATATCGCTTCTTACCAAGATTTTGAAGGAGTCGTTTAATTGAATCCAATCTTCGAGGATATTTATCTTCAATAAAGTTAAGTAACTGTTCATCAATCGTAGGTATATCATCAAGAACAAGTTTCAAATGTTTTGAATATTTTATTGATTTTTCCCATGGAAATGAAATAGGATATTTATCAAACTCATTAACAGATACTAATTGTGATTGGTCTTTCAATGGAATAATCTTTAATTGTTTAAGTTTATTGATTGTATCACTTTCGCGTGCTTTAAAATTGATTTCTTGCCGTTGTTGTTGAAGACTATAGTCGAGACACACAAGCCATTGAGCAACTAGAACGGAATTATCAATGAAATATTATAATGCATTTAATACTATTCTGTTTCCTAACAATCTTCAATTGCTATGTGTTGATTAAGCTACTGAATTCACTTCCGCAAAAGCTCCGAAAGCAACAAGGTAACTTTTTATGAATTCTAACCGAGAACAATTCTACAACAACTAGCAAATTTCAAAGAGTAAAACAAAAAAAATCTATTGAAATTGAAGAAAATTTTTCGATTCGACAGGTTCTAGTTTTTGAGACACTCTATAGGTTGAATTCAAAAACATACTTTGTTCTATAGCTGATGTTGTTTTAATATGTTGTTGTTCCTTTTGTTTGTATGATGTTTCAATAAGTTGTGTAATATCTGAAAAATCAAGTTGACGACAGCCTAGTTTCAATAGAATTTGTTCGTTGCACTCTTGCATTAATTGTTCATGAACATAATAACTATTGAAATGTGATAATAATAAATCTTGTGAGAGAATTTTTCGAATAAATGCATCTTGTACAATAATACATTGAGAAGGTGCAACCCAATCGATGGTTGTTTCTTCTTTTTCATTTTGACGAGAAACTGGTAATTTAATAATACCTGCTAATGATTTAATACTTTCATCGACAAATTTATTAAAAAATGGTTTTGATTCATTTTGTAAAGGAAAAAATTTAAGAAAATATTTTATTGTTTGTATCGGTGTTATTTCACAATTAATTTGTGTATGAAATGTTGAGGAAGCAAGTAAATCAGGTAAATGTCGAAATTGATAATAAGCTAAAGAAAGAAGACAAGTCATCTTCCATTGAAGCCATTCATTCCATAGGTTATCGTGAAGAATTTCTTGACGATTTGCTGGAACTTCAAAATCACCTTGTAAAATAAAACGAAATCCATATGAACAAAGTGGTAAATATGCAAAAACAGGTTGAGTCGGTGGAGATGATAATGACGAATCTTGAATACCATTGAGTGGAAAAGCAATGGCAATGATTGTTGAATCAACATCACCTTTTACATCACGTAATTTTTCCTAGAATTATAAATTCATATTAATATACCTATTGAAAGAAGTATAAACATTTGGATTTTTCAAAAAAAAAATTACCTTAATATTAGCAGGAACTTCAATTTGTTTTTTGACTACAAGCCATAAGTTACTGATGACAGGTCCATTCATCGTCTTTTCTTGTAATTCAATAACTTGTCCTTGGTCATGATCGATTCTAGTAAATGTTCGGCTATTGTTATTTGTTGCAGATTTATCATATTGATCTATGAGTTCAATTTGTCTTAAACGATTAAGAAAAAGAAGAAAAATTGATTCG